AACTTTGTAAACGTTATAATTTTCCTTTGTAATCTCTTCTATTTCCTATTGTTCAAAAAGGTTGTCGATTATATGGTTATTTCATACCGAACCCACAATATCCCCTAATTGTTTTGAGCAGTGAATGTGACTGCATGGCGTTACTCCGCAGTAGAAAAGAAACGGAACCTAAAAGTCCACTACAGATCTATGGAGAAAATGTTTTTTTAAAACCTAAGAGTCGCACTTCAAATACTCCTTACTATTTCATTATCAAATGCTAGCTATAAATGTTCGTTCAGCAAATTAAAATAAATTTTCACATATTTACAATCAACGATGGGACAAGATCTAGCATTTTTAAGTGTGCAAAGAGAAAAAGTTGAAAGGATCGACTTCGATGAAGTAAATGATAAATTTGCTTCATCCAAGGTAAGAAAAATGTATACATAGTAATTAATTGTATTCATGTATTATATTATTATAATAAATATAAGTTTCCGACCAAGTCGAGGTGCACGGGATTGAAGCGAGATGAGGGGAAGTAAAACTTTTTAAGTTGGCTGGTGGTGTGTCTGACAATTTTAGATCTTTGGCACTCATGTCCAGTTGGCTATGTCCTTTCGCATGCTACGCCATACGAAACGTTGCTGTATCGGTTTCCTCGAAGCCTTGATGCCAGGATGTGACAGACGATGTAACTGACTAAAAATGGCATGGCGAAACCCGGAGGGAACATAAGGTTGAAATCTTGAATCCTGAACATTACAATAAAGTGATTTTCAGGTGACAGCTGCATAGGCTGCAAGTTGAGATTGGTGGAAGATTTGCTTTTCGAAAGAGGTTTGTAGTTCTGAATCCCGGTGTTGCTTATCCGCAAGGGCAGCAAAGTTTAATTGGCGAAGGAAAGGCTAGTTCTTCAATAGGAGACAAGGTGTCTGCAATATTCTGCGAACCCTCAATATAACGGATATCTGTTGAAAATTGCCCTATGAAGTCTAGGTGTCTCATTTGACCAGGAGAAGCTTTATCTGAACACTGTTGAAAAGCATACGTTAAGGGGTTTTGATCGTGAAGATCATGAAACGGGTCCCTCTAGCACATGTCAAAATATTTGACAGCTTCATAAGTTCCTAATAACTCGCGATCGTAAGTGCTGTATCTGGTTTGTGCTGGTCAGAGTTTTTAGAAAAAATATGAAAGTGGTCTCCATAATTCTTGATCGTTCTGTTGTTAAACTGCTTCTATACCTGTTGTTGATGCGTAAACGTGTAGAAATTAGGTTATTTTTTGGAAGCAGAAGAGATGAAAAATATGCAACGCCTTCGCCGGGAATCGAGCAGCGGACCTCTGGAGTACCGGCGGCCCAGCCTGCAGAACCACTACACCACGAAGGCACGCTAGGAAAGCGGGAGAAATACCTTATATACTCTCCTTTTTAAAGGGCGACTGGGGTTTTAGGGGACCCAATTGCCAAATTCTGGGTGTGCAGAATCCTCATCCAACACCCCTTTTAGTTCGGGCGCCACTGTAGAGACATTAGGATACTTAGAAGCAAGAGAGATTGAAAAATTAGCAACCGTCTTCGCCGGGAATCGAACCGCGGACCTCTGGAGTACCGGCCCAGCGTGCAGACCCACTACACCACGGAGGCACGCTAGAAAAGCGGGAGAAATACCTTATAAACGTAGAGTGATAATGGCTTAAATACGGAAGGATACTACAAATTTGTTGCCGAAATTAAATCATTCTTGCATTTTTGGAACGCTTCGCGAGATTCTCTGGTCCAGGTTATAACACGTTTATCGTTTTTCTTGCTTCCAACCAAAAAAAGAATTTAGAGATGCTTGTATGGTTGCTGCATGAGGTAAGAAACGTCGATAAAATTAAGCATAGCAAGAAATCTTCTTAAGTCCTTCACTGTAGATGGTTCGGGCATATCGTGGATAGCAGTGACTCAGGAAGGGGTCGAACGGCATCGGCGGAAATTTCATGACCAAGAAAGGATACACTTGGTTGGCCAAAAACGCATTTGGAAGGATTAAGACTGACACCGTACCTTTGAAAACGTTCAAAAACTGTTCTCAAATGTGATAGGTGTTCTTGCTTTGAAGAGGAGGCGATTAAGACGCCGTTAAAATAAGATACACAAAAGTCGAGGCCGATTAACACCTGATTCATGAAGCGTTAGAACGTTTGAGCAGCACTGCATAATCCGAAACTCAAATAGTCCAAAAGGCGTAATAACCCCAGTTTTTGGAATATCATCTGTGTTAAGGGGCACTTGGTGATACGCCCGCTCAAGATCAAGGGTTGTAAAAATAGTTTTTCCCTCTAAAATTTGCATACAGGTCTTGAATGTGCGGGACTGGGGTAACGATCAGGAATTGTAGCCGCATTTAACCGGCGATAATTGCCACTTACCATTTCGTTTCCGAACTAGATGGAGCGGACTGGCCCATGAACATTCTGAAGGATGGCAAATTCCCTGTTCCATCATGTATTGAAATTCCTCTTTGGCGGCTTTAAGCTTGTCCGAAGGTAAGCGTCTTGGCTTTAGCGGCAATTGGAGGTCCGTTAGTTTCAATATAATGTAGTACATCGTGCTTAGGAGTTCGGAAATACCCATAACTGGGCGCGTGATTGTAGGAGAATTCTCTGAGAAGTTCATGCCATGGGGAGTTACCCGAAATCACTTTAATGCTCAAATCTTGACTGTTGGGAATTACTCCCGGATAAGTTAAGTTGGTTGTGGAATCTATCAAACGGTGATTCTTAAGATTGACACAAGCAAAGAAAATTTTTGTAAAAAGTCAGCTACAATAATAGGACTTGAAACAGTAGCAATAATGAATGGCCATTGGAAGTTGTGGCGCAATCCTAAATCGACAGATATCAGGCGTTCAAAGTTTGAAAAGTTCCATTTGCTGCATAAAGTTGTAACTTGGTAAGATGCTTTTGTTCGTAAAAATGTGGTGGAACGACAGAAACATCAGCCCCGGTGTCTACAAGAAACCTTAAGCCCGAATTATTTTCGATGACGAAACGGCGTGCAAAATTCCGTCCGCTGTCGTTCACGACTTCGAGCAACGGTCCTTCTCGTTTCCCTGGTCGTTATAACGACACGGTGGGCGGCATTTGTTTGCCTTGTTTCCAAATTTGCGGTGGTAAAAACAAATACCCGGAGGAGGGCTTTCATAACGTTTCCTCAGTGGTTTCATAACGTGTATTTCGACCACGTGATGATGAGCGGTTGCGCTGAAAATGTTCAGCTTGGATGGCTACTAACTGAGCAACCTGTTTGGACAAATCATCAATTTGAGCCTGTAACGCCACAATACCTGGACCAGGAGCCTGCGCTGCGTGTATTTGCGTTGGAATGGCTAGCTCGTGAATTTTATCAGTGATTTCGAGAAGATTTTTAAGTGGCTCGCTACTGGCCGCTAAAATCGTTTGCATGTTAGATGGGAGTCTATTCATCCATAATGTTTTAAGAATGCTATCCGTTAGGTTACTGGCGGCTAAGTCTGACATTTTAGACAGCAATTGAGAAGGCCTCATATCACTCAACTCTAAATCGTGCAACAGCTGCTTGATTTTAACTGCCTTGGATTCTTCATAAACACAAATATTTTTTTTTTAAAGTTTTGTATTTGTCCATCGCCGGTGGATTCAAAATTATTTCACGAGCTGATTGCAGTACCTCTGATTCTAACGCGGCGATGGCAGTATAAAATTGAGTTTCGTCGGCAGTAATGTGACTCAATTTAAACTGCGCATCCAATTGAATGAACCATAACAATGGGTCTCGGCGACAAAAAGGAGGTGGCTTAACAAGCACTCTCGCCATTTGTAAAGCAGCATCGTTTTCAACCACTTTAGAGCAATCAAATATGCTCAATAATAATATGTATAGAAAAATAATCATTATGTATATAGTGACACAGTTTTTTGGTACTTGAAATCAGAAAAATTGGCGGTTCAAATGCAGCAGACGATACATATATCCGTTGAAATTATGACAGAAATATGTTGACTCACTCGAATGGGGCACAACGCTTGAAATCACAGGTGAAATGTCTTACTTGCATCTCATCACACTGGATAACTTACTGTTGCTCAGAATTTTGACATATAAACACCATATTCGTGCAACATTGAAGGTTGCTATTCATAATAAATACGGGTTACCAATTATGGTAGTATAATTTGAGACAGATCGTTAAATAATAATAACAATTGAATAGAATAAATATCATTTTATTTTTGGTTGCTATGGGTTACCAGACTGGCCGAGTTGAGTTGTAGTAGGCAAGTTGCCACATATCTATTTATCTATAATGTATATTAAACTTTTAATTGTTTAAAAATTGTACTTTTTAAAAACACTTATATAAATATGTAAAATAAATAACACGTTTTTAACTAATTCTAGATAGTCGTATGTAGGATTTTTCCGCCGACACAGATGCATTTCCGAATCCAAGGCTGGTGTAGTTAGGTAGTGGCTATTCTTAATATATTTTTGAGTATTTTATGGCAGATTCAGCATTTTATTATTATTTGCATTATTTTCATATTACGAATATGTTCTATACATTATATTACTGAAAGTTTTTTGTGGGGGGCGCCAAAAAAGATTTTTTGCCCCGGGCGCCAGTTATGTTTGCTACGCCACTGCTATTTAATGTAAATAACAACAGTTTCCTCCCCTTTTAACTACACTCATGGATACAATCGTGTTTTAGGAAAATTTTCGTACTTTTTTGCTTTTCTTTCTATAGGCCCCCTTTTTTTAATTAATTATTTATTTTCTTCCTCTCCGTTACTTTTGGGCCATTTATTTTTAATTTTATTTTGTCCGATCTTTTCAAACTCGTATAAAATATACGAGGTTCCTTTTTGCTCTGAAATACGAAAATTGCTCCCCTTTTCATGTACCTTTCCTTCGCACTTGATTTTTCGCTTATCAGTGCAAAAAGACTTAGCGGGTGCAACACAAGACATCTGTCTACTTTGTCTGTCTGTCTGTCTTTTTTTTTTTCTTTTCTTTTTTTTTTAAAGGGCTTCGCCTGTGCTAGGCGTGTGACAAATTTCACTAACTTAAAAATGAGTGGTTTTCTGTGGAGCTTGACTAATGGTGATTTGGATCAAGTAAAAGATTTTGTGGAAAATCAAGTAATATTATTCTATCACTAAACTTTATGTAATTATATATACTATATATTATTATTATTTTTTTTTTTTTTTCTGTAGGAGGAAGATTTAGTTCTTGCTGAATTTATTTCAGATAATTGTAATTCTATGAGTTCTGTTCACATGACTTTCAGATTTGCTTTCATTATTATATTCTTTATGTAATTTCAGGTTTGTTTAGAGGACATAATCCTTCTGCATTTCTAGTAACTAATTATGTTGCACAATTGATGATGTATTTAATGACCAAAACGAAAGTACAAATTCATGAACTAAATGCAGCATTCCAAGAAAGTTTCAAATTACGAGCACTTAGCATAATTTCGATTTGATATTAATATGTGCGCTTTTTAAAACTGATTGATTCAGATGTTCCGTTTTTACATATTGCATACTATATTATAATCGTTTTACATATTACGTATGTTTGTAGTCAGCTCCCGTACTCAAAGTTTTTGTTTCTCAAATTTATATATAATTATTGGAAGCTGTACAATAAATGTATTTAAATGTTTCAATACCATAATTTAATTCCAAATTATAACTATTTTTCCAGTATGGCATAATTTTAAAATTTCTGTCATAGGATAAAATGTTTGAAATATATTTATTATCTTTCTGATTCAGTTCACTGCACTAAATTCTGAGATAATCGTAAACTATTAATAATTTATTATATCAATCTTTTGCAGGGTGTAGATATTAATGCAAGTATAGATGGAAGGTTACCAATTCATTATGCTGCAGATTATGGACAAAAAGATGTATTAAATTACCTCATTGACAAGGGAGCCAACATTGATGTAAATGATTTCAGTTATTAATGAACTAAATTTTCCTATTACCAGTAATTTTGATAATCAGTGCCTTAAAAAAAAGATCATTTTGTAATATTTTTATGTATTTCTTGCTTAAATTTGCTAAATAGATTAAATTAATAACAAAATAATAATAACATATATGTTTATATCCCTTTTTCCTTTGTATGTGTATCCGTTTGTGTGAAAGCAAAAAATTAAATATTCTTTAGATATTAAATAGTATTTTAAGATAATTTTATTAAAATTTTAATATAAGCATGCAGTAGATTGATATATTAAAAAAAACTGGCTAGAATTAACTTGGATCCTTCTTTATTTAAAAAACTAATTTTAATTAAATAACCATCAGCCAAAATGAAGCTTACTCTTTGGATCCAAATTACAGCTTATTTTCTTCAGTTCAGAATAAATTAATATTAGAAATCATAAGTGTATGAGTTTGTAAATAATTAGCTTTTAGAATGTGTATATTTACATGGTCATTTAAAAAGTTCTGATTAAGACAAGTAAATTCTTAAGAAGAGTATTTCTTGAAGAAATTAAAGACATTTAATATTATTATTTAAATTTCATATGATATTTTTATTAGATGACTTAGCAGTATTTTTCTAGGATTATTAAATAAAATATGGACAAAATGTTGTTAATGACATACTGGAAATATTTAGATTGAGAAGCATGATGTGAGTTCTTATTTTATACTGTTTTGTTTGTATGAATATTGTTTCCAAGCACCAAAATTCATTTATTTAACCAGGTCAGTTTCCGTTTTGCACATGCAATACGTTTCGATGGATGGTACTGTTGTAGTAATATGTATGTGTATGTTTAATTATTCTTGCTTACATGTGCACATACATACATAATCTCCATATGGTGCTTTAGGTCTTGGCATATGTTTTTCTCTTTACAAGGGCCAAAAGCCATGGGAGGTACATAAAAAAAAGTACCTTTAACTGAAATAGTTCGGAGTGTTATTTATGATATATAAAACCAAATGAAGTTATTCTTTTTTGTAAATATTTTTTAAATGTGTATAATTTACAATTTATGTGAATTACTGTATAGAGCCTATCTCACTTGTCTGACAGTAACATCAGAGTAAGTACATAAATTATATCAAGGTAAGGAGCACAGGATTGCATCTGTCACTGGCATGGATTTGGATATTTATGGATGACATAATATTTGAAAGGATTTTGAGCTTACCTTGTGTTTTAAGTGTTATATAAGACACTATAGGTTAACAAACATTCGAGCCTTCTGTTGGATTCAAACCTGGGCCCAATAATATGGCAGCCAGCATTGCTAAATGGTGTATTGATGAAACTGGAAAATTACTCATAATTCATATCATGCTTAATATTCATATTTAACACTGTTAACTCACAGTTAACTAGGGTGACTACCAGGGATGATGTTCATAGTTAACAGGAGGGCAGTTGTCTTTCTCTATCTTGATTGTGTATGCACTTTCTTTCCATCTCTATCCCTTTCTAAATATACTTATTTCTTCTTCACTTTGTGGTTTATTACTATTGTGGGTCAATATGAGTCAATTTGTAGCAGAAGATTATTGGCTGAACATTGATTTATTTCTAAGATTGAACAATTTAATTTTAGCAAATGATTTAACCACTTCTGTAGTGATTGGGTGCAAAAAAATAGTCCTAGTGTAGCTCGTTCATGTCGTAAGATATAACTAAAATGGGTACAGAGCGTCCCAAGGGCATCCTGCCCTTGGGTATTATAGCAGGGAACTGGTCTCTCAGATTGGGGTTTAGGTGTGGGGCTAACTGCCTCACCCTGTAAAAGAATTCCGGTTCGGAAATCTCGAAGGCTAAATCATGGACAGATACCACCCAGATGACATGGAATGACAATGAACTTGCAATGTATTGGTACTTGGAATGTGCATACATTTTAAAAGGTTGGTTGATATGTTTGAAATTAAAAAATTAATTATTTTGAAAATAAAAAATTAAAATTTAATTCTGGTTGATACGTTTGCGAGGTACTTTTCCATTTTGCCGGCTCAGTCAATAAAATCGGCAATAGTGGTGCAACTGTACCAAACGGATATTCTCGCTGGTAACCTTTTACGCCTCATTTTCAAAACAAGTCAGAGCCATATCTTATCAGATTGATTGGTTCTTTCAATAGTGGCATACATTACATAGAATTTTTACCAGATAGTAAAATTTTATGCCCTAAGGCTATTTGCGGTAATTAAGTCAATTAGGATGCAACCACACTGCTCACCCGAAGGCAAAAATATAGAAAAGGCAAAGTCAAGGTTTAAATTTGTCAATTCTAATGAGATTACACTAGCAAAGTAAAGTACTGCGGTTTTACATAATTTCTGCGGTCTCGTAATTTACATAATCGTACGATACTATTCATACGAATTGAAATAATTCATGCATTTAAACTTGTATTCCAAATTAAGATTTAACTTGAAATTAATGTAGATAATTACCGAGAGAATTAGATTTTTATAGCGTAGTTTACATGAGATGAGATTGCTTGTGGTCACGTGCGATATGAACAGGCGAACCATGAAAGCATAATAAATTCTTAAATTATGTCTTTTTACAAATTTTTAAAGCCAACAATGGCTTTTTGCAAAATTTTAAACAATATTAAAATGCTTATGCCTTCAAAATAAAAAACTCTTAGAACTAACATTTGTTAACATTTTTATGTGTATACTGTATGTTGTCTCCAAGTCTGCTTGGCGAGATTTGCGCCGGCGAAACAGAAAAGTGCCATTTGAGAATTATAAATTAGACAAATTCTTGTTGATACATATGAGAATTATAAATTGGACATTTTTGGGGAGCCACGAGAATTATACTTTTTTCTTGCCATTCAGGAGATATGAGACTTGGCCAAGGAATTTTGGATTAAAAAAAGATGCTGTGTTTTATATAACTGCCAGTATAAGCAACACTGCTTTGGAGTAGCATTTGTAGTAACTAGGCAAATAAGAGACAGAATTATAGACTTCAAACCTATAAATGAAAGGATTTGTCAACTTCAGATTCGAGCTTGTCCTTAAAATATTAGTATTATCAGCATACATGCACTGAAGACAAATACAATACAAACCCTCTCACTGTGTGCGTTTTTTTATCAAAATAGGTTCAAAAATTGCATATTTTTTTATTACATATTTCAAATGTACATATATTTTAGAGTTAAAAATTTTAGAGTTAAAATATACAAAAAATTTTTGTAAAAGAGTTTTTTTCAATATAGAATTAGATCATAGAAAATGATTGTCAGAATACTGAATTGAAGAATAATGATATAAAAGGAAAAATTCTGAATTAATATTGGTTAAATATGATTTATTTTATAAAATACAAAGGTAAAACATATATACTAATAAAAATATTTGCATAATGTAATATTTTGCATATAAATTTTGCACCACTGTCCAACATTTTCAACAGAAACTGAATATTCTGATTCATCATTATCTACAGAGGAATCCGAGAAATTCTCTTCAGAGTCGCTATAACTATCTTCAATGTACTTGAAATCAGAGTCAAAACTACTATCAGTGTCGGAAATATCATCAGGAATATAAGTTATATCACTTGCGAAACACTTCCTACCTACTGAAAAGTGCGTGCAAAATGCTACATTACGTATTCTTGTAGTATATTTGGCAGAAATGTGGGCAACTAACACCATCTGTTAGTCCACATCTAAATAAACAATTAAACATCACTGAAAAATCTACTGTTCATCAAATTTATTTTGTTAGATAAATTTTGGAAAAAACAGTTGAGCGTAATGTTGATACCTTTTACCTTTTTATGGATTTTAAAGTTGCTTATGATAGCATATACAGTCAAAAGTCTTTAATCCGGACTCGTCGGGACTTCGGCGATTCCAGATTATATATATATTCCAATTCCGGATAATATCACTTCGGCGATTCCAGATTATCGGTTTTTAGGATTATAGATCATCAGTTTAAATCTGGTAAGATGTCATGCAGAAATTATAAAATTAAAATATGAAACCATAATTTATGAAATAATATTTTCAATTATGATCTAAAGGGTATCAAAATTTACAAAAAAAGAAGCTTAATATTAATTTGCTTACTGTATGAAACATTTCTTTCAACGTGCGCATGAGTAAAGCATACATTACACATAGTCGAAATTAGAAAATTGCAACCAGAAAACTATTTGATGTGTATTCGTGATATTTATAATGACGAGGAAATTGATTTAAATTATATCGGAGTACATCGAGATGAAACACTACATTTAGTGAGGAATTATAAGCCAAATAAAATAAAAACATCTGCCCTGAAGATGAGGATAGTGCTGTCAGATCAACTTCCAGTTCATTTCGCGTCGCGATGTCCCCCGCAGAGCAGCGTGAAATTGATAAACAGATTTCGGAATGGTTAGAGAAACAAATCAACCTCTCTCACTTTTCTTTGCCTTTATCCATTTTTTGCAGCAATTCCACTTTTTGTTTAATGGACATCGAAACATGCTTTCGCTTTGTAGATCCTTTGGCAGCTCCAGAATTTAGCTCTTTTTGACATAATCGAAAGTTTAAGCTTACTTTTATAAAATTGCTCTAACAGTCAGCAAAAAATGATAAGCCAATCCAATTCGAAGATTAAGGAACAACGCAATCTGCAACATTAACTGGAATAGATAATTAGATAACTTTAGCGTAGCTTATACCGTCTGTTATACATTAAACGCGTGTGCATAAACATATTATGTACATGTGTAAAGGTATTATGCGTTTACGTATGCGCAGAAAGTTTGTAGCTTTGAGGTCCGGATTATAGATCATTCCAGAATATGGACGTCTGGATTAAAGATTTTTGACTGTACCATGAAAAGTTGTGGGAAGCTATGCTGGAATTCGGATTTCCTAGACAATAGATCTATCTAGAATGACCTTAAAGAGAGTAAATTACAAAGTTAAAATCATGTTTGACCTATCGGAGGCATTTTACACTGAAAGTGGTTTGAGACAGTGTAATGCCCTTGCATGCATGTTTTTTAATATCACCCTTGAAAGGCTATTAGAGATGCCAGAATTATAACTAAAGATACCATATTTCAGAGATCTATGTATTTACTAGTATATGTTGATGACATTGACATTTTTATTTATCTGAAGTAAACAGGTGGTTATGGAGACTTTTATTTCTTTAGAATATGCAGCCAGAGACATTACACTAACCATTAATGAGAGTAAAACAAAATTTATTGCAGTAACTAGTAAAGTTCATAATCCTCTCCCACTGCAAATAAATTCTTATACTTTCGAGGGCGTTTCTTAATTTACGTATCTTGGTTCTATCATCTCTAATGATAACAATATTAAACTTGAAATTGACAATAGATAAAATAGATGTTATCATGGTTTAAAGAATTTGTTAGTGTCTAAATTATTAAACTTCAGGTCAAAAATAAATCTTTATACCACTCCCACATTTCATTTAATAGGTTAATACCACATATTACCTATTATATTATTATATGGTTATTACCATACCATATAATGTAATAGACATATTATATGGTAGTGAATACTGACTATTAACAAATCAAACAAACCAAAGGAAAAAAAAAAAGAAAAGAAGAAGAAAGACTTCAGTCATCAGATCTTATCATATCGGTTGGCTTGGATATATTTTTAGAGGTGACAACTCGAATCCTGTTGAAAAGGTGACTTTTGCAACTATAGGGGGTACCAGGAAAAGAAGACCTCGCACTAGATAGACTGTGTGGAGGCAGATCTCAAGACTTTCAAAAAATCAATTATTGGAGGACCTAATTAGATCCATTGGGGGAAGCTTATTGAGACGGCCTTAGTCTGTGATAGGCTGTAGCGCAATTGGAGAAGAAAATGATTGAGCAATTTACTTTTAACAGATTATTTAACAATGTTTATGCAAAACAGAAGAGAAACACATCAAGTGAAACATAAAATTAGTAACACAATAACCTTGAATTTGACATAGATTTATGTTGAGATCTATGTGTGGTCATCCCCAGTTAAGAACCACTGGTCTATTGTATGCCTCTATATAATTAGAAATCAGCTATATTGGTAAATTAAAAAATTCATTATTATAGTAAGCTTAAATAAGGCCAGGTGACAAAAAGCATTGATCGTATTGCAGTAATGAAAGGAATGTGAGATTTGATGAATCACATCCATGTCCAAATGCCTTTTTCTTCACAGCATGAGCGAAGTCTGCATAGCCATTTTGGTTTTAAGTTGCATTTTAATTTTATCAGGTAGTTATTCAAATGTATTTCTTTTTCTTCCAAAATACCTTTTACTGTAAGGAATTTGTTTATCTCTTGGCAAATCATAAGTCATGAAAACCAATGTAGTAAAAAAGAAAACCAATATTTATAATAACGATTATGATAACAAAAAGGTGTGAAATCCAACTGACAATGCTTTTTACCTAGGGCGGATAAAATAAAAAACGAAAAAAAATCCATGTGGAATGACTTTAACCACTTAACAGTTTATTTTTTCCGTCATATTATGACAAAAAATAAGCATATTATTGATATTTTTATGAAGAAATTCATTATATAAACCCAAATCAGCAGTCAGAACTATTACAAGTATTGAATTTATTGATTTATGCTAATTTTTATTTTCATCGTAGAAAGCACATTTTTCGTAAAGTTGGCTTTTTTTGAACAAATAAGAGAACTGGAAAGAATACTTTACAAAAATAGATGTCAGAATTTAAAATGTTTTATTGTTATTACATATCTGTTTGATTCCAAAAGAATTATTAATATCAAGAAAAAGGATTATTATATCAAGTCATAAAAGTTCCGAATTTGCATTAGAATCCATACTTTCGTTCTTCATCACTATGAAGTCAGACAACCAACTGTCATTGTCTCAGAACATTTAGTGAAATTGAGATTCACTATTGAGCAATATCAGAGTTATCTTCAGTATTAAACATCATTATCATTCAGTTCTTTTAGTTTAGCTCCAAATTCAAAGAAACAATATTCGCTGTAGCACGGAACACTGAACTAGTGAAAAGAAATTCGCGCCTTTACGTGATAAAGAATTCAGTAAAACCTAACCTTGAAATGCATTCCAACTTTACTTTTAATTAGAAACATTACACTCTAAACATGCAAAATTCGGGCAAATCAGTGATGAGTCTGATGGCTTCCGACCACGGACAGAACCAAACGGAATTATATCCCATCACGGCGGGGAAGACTCCCAAGGTTGAATATTATAAACTAATAACATTTTTAATATTGTTTAACTGAAGGCACTAAGCGTTATTAGAAGAAATATTGATTATCTGAGGCAGTTGTATGAGATTTCTCTATTTTATAAGGCTTTCTGTTTATCAAGTGCCAATCTTGTTGTACACAATGGAAGAATTAAGGTCCGTGTCGCCTTCCTTTCCGCATTCGCAGAAAGGAGTATCCCTAAGTCTGAATCTGTTCAGGATATGGGGAATGGTCCATGACCTGTCAAGAACTGTTTAGGCTAGCACAGTGGGTCTTTATTCATGTTAACTTTTGGCAGTAAGCGAAATGTCCTTGTCCTAACCTCTGCCTGTCATCTACTTGCCAATTTTGTAGAGACTTGTCAAAGTGTTCGCTTAATATGAGACCAAGGAAGTTTAGTTGGTCTTTCTAATATATCCGTACGTTGGTGCTGCTTGGCCAGTAGGCAGCGGCTTCATTGCCTCAACCCTGTATGAGCGGGAACCCATTTTAAAGTGGGTCTTTGCGAAATAGGCATTGTAGAAGCTGTTTCTGAATTCTGTATACCATGGACTCGGCTGTTTTGACTTGCGATAGCCGTCAGACTTGATGCCGAATCACTGAATATGGAGAATTTCTCCTGTTGACGTGTTTCGCATACTAATTGCAGCACTGATAGCTAGAAGCTCTGCTTGGTATATACCGAGTTGTTCAAGCCTAATTTCCTTTTCCACCGAATGTTACAACTCCATTTTCTAGTCGACAGAAGGCGCTGCCGTGCCGTTCTCAGTTTTGGAGCCATCTGTGAAAAGGTTATTACGTACCTCTGAATTGGTTGGTCGTTTATACTGATACGTAGAGAGAGATTAAAGCTGCTGGATGAAAGTTATTGCAGTTGTTTGCTCCTCGTAGTCCGGTGGTGATAACTATGACCCCAGAGTGTTGAAGTTTGACCCAGCCTGGAACCCTTACGATAGCTGCCTCCTTTCTTTCTACTATCAAATCTAGGGGAGGAATTCCTGCTAGTTGTTGTAGGCTAGTGTTTTGACGTGGTACGGTAAGCCCTGCATACTTGAAGTAGCTGTGTCTGAATAGAAAGCAGGGATCTTTTCATATGAGAGGTAGTCGCCACCCCCAGATTGCTGCTCCATAGTTATTACTCTTTCTGTAATGGTTCTATGCCAAATTTTTAGTAGCTTAGATGAGATACCCCATTTATGTGAAGTCATGCGTCCATGTTGTTGCTTAGGATACTAATTCGAGTCTTAAGATTCCTGACATGGGCATCCAAGAAAGTCTGTTGTCGAGTAATAGCCCAAGATATTTCAATTGGGGGAAACATTTTACCGGTATCCCATGGAGTTTAATGCTTGGGTTGCGTCTTAGCTGCCTGCTGCGTCCTATGGCAAAGCTTTAGTTTTCTCTGCCGAAATCGAGGCTTATGTGCTCTGGCCCAATTGGGAGAACAGATCAAGACAGTATTGAGATCTCATTCGAGGTTACTCCTTCCCTGCCAAACTAGCTAAAATCGTCCGCATAGGCTATGATTCGAGCGTATTCTACGCTCTCAAACTGACGAAATGCCGAGTTTGCCACTATATTCCACAGTGTTGGTCCAAGGCATGACCCCTGTGGGCATCCTCTAAAGACATTTTTGATCGGGCAAATCAGTGTATTAGACTAGAAAAAAAAATGTTGCCTGAGTGCCACTCGGAAAATTAAAAAAAAGGACCATTTCCAAGTACCCGAACGGTGTTCGGGCAAAACTGGGAAGTGGTTAACAGAAGAATACCAAATTAAGAAATTTAAAATATGTACAGTTCAGCTTGTGGGGAGAATTTTTTGATTCATAAAATTCTGTTGTAAATTTCATGAAATTTAATCTTTATTGATTTGCTATGTCTATTTACTAATGCATATTTTTCTGTTTTAATGCATTTTCTTTTTTGTAGGCAAAAGATAAGTATGGAATAAGTGCTTTATTAGCAGCTATCTGGGAAGGACACACTAGTTGTGTTAAACTGATGCTAGAAAAGGTAAGGCTATACCATCATATTTATGTAATTGTAAAGATTCATATCCATAAGGTTCAAGTAATTAATTATATCTTATTCTAAGTTTTGCTAATCAAAAATACATAGGAAATTGCTTTATTAAAATACTATGTATGGCAGAATGCTCTTGTTAGTTAAGGAAATATGTCTCTAGAAATTTGATTTGATTTTTGAAATATTACATTCAGGCTAAAACTGTGTATGAACAGCTCCATATAATTATCTTAGCATTGAAGGCAATTAAAGTCAGAATATTTTTATTGAAACAAAAATATAGCTGTAAAAACTGAAAGTCCCATGTCAAAGGTATGTCTATTTACTATAGATAATTTATTTAATTTTCAGTTTGTCATGTATTTGATAATGTAGTATTATAATGGGCAGTATATTTAGATTTTTGGGTAATGATGATATTATTTGTGGTATTTTCAGGTTTTATGCTGAGAATGGAATTACCAAAAAACAAATTTTACAAGGTTGAATGTAGTTTTCTTAAACAGAGACTTTCGTTTGAAAGGCTTAGTGTATTATAAATTGTATATAAATTGATTAAATATTTTCCCCCTTTTTGTATTTAGTTGCTGAATGCATTATGATCATATTCAATCTAATGATGAAAGTGATATAATATAATAAGTAATATGGATAATTAAAATAGAGCATCACTGTTTCATCAGTAAAAATGTATTCAACTATATATTCAAATAACATAAGTTTAACTGATTTATACAGTACAAAGTATGTTATCCGGACGTCCATTATCCGAAATGATCTATACTCCGGACCTCAAAGCCACAAACTTTTTTTTTGTATGCTTTTCGCATGCGCATTTAAGGTTTACGCATGCGCGTTCAGCACAAAAAAAAAAAACGGAGCAACTTAAACAACTTACATTGAAAGAAATGTTTAATAAAGTAAACAAATAAATATTAAGCTTTTTTTTTTTTTTTTTTTTTTTTTTTGTAAATTTTGATATCCTTTCAATCATGATTGCTCTTTATTTCATAAATTACGGTTTCATATTTTTAACTGTATAATTTCTGCATGCCATCTTACCAGATTTAAATTGATGATCTATAATCCGGAAAAACCCTTAATCCGGAATGACCGAAATCCCGACGAGTCCGGATTACAGACTTTGTACTGTGTAATTTGTATTGAGTTTTCAGTAGACCGCTAATAAAAATTATATTTTTCTTTTCCCCTGTTATAATGTTTTTCATCTAAGTATGCGCATGTAGGGTGGCACACAAAATATGGGTTCATCTTCTTGCCACTATTATAATTCTTTGATGAAGATGCTATAACTTGGTTGATTTCTTCTAGGCTTTAGCATTGATAATGGGTTAGTTCACATTAGTTGAACAATAAAACAGGCAAGACTTACACAGAATCCATCAGTATACATGTTTCCAGTTTTCTTTTTGCCACCTTTTTGTTGTTGCTAATGCTTTGTCTAACCTATAATCAGCCCAAACACTCAATATTCCTCATGGCAAGTAGCACAAGTTCACACCTGTGGTTAGCAACAGCCTTGAGCACCATACAGGTGACAATGCCATTTAGCTCACTTTTTGCCCCCAGTTTGAATGGAAAACACCTTGGGGGGATGGGTCCAAGGGTCTCCCAACCCTCTTTCCCTACCACAAACCTCTCCAACTCGCTGCATATTTAGAGTGCCTCCATGTGCACGGGCACAATACATTTACAAACACCCGTGCCTTCTGTAGGATTCGAACCTGGGCCCTTCGGTATACTGGTTGGCTGGCTGCCATCTTGGCTTCTTAAGTATTCAAGCGTTACTATTATACTGTAATTTTATTAAAATAGTTTTTTCCTTTGTAAACTTATTATTCCCCTTTGCATTATGATGTTTGAGGAAAGATAATATTTCATGGTTGCATTTAAAAACAAAATCTGAAAGCTTTCAGATTTTATATTCCAAAGGGGCATTTTTTTAAAGGTTTTGTGTGTTACCTTTGTTTATTAAATATCATGTTCTTCACAGTTAAACCATAAAATTCAGTTCAAGAGCAATATCGCAAAATAATTTTAAAAGTGCATGTGTTTAGAATTTTCAATACACAGCCTCAGATTTTTAGATTTTTGATAGAGATTTTATTTTCTTTTTTGCTGAGAGAGTTTTTTTTTTTTTTTTTTTTCCTGAAGAGTGTTGCCATTGTTCGCTTTGAAATCATTGAGTTTGTTAATCAAACATTCGTTAAAGTTTTATAAAATAGGAAATAGATAATAAAACAAATTCCAAATTTGGTCTTCCAGATGCCCATATTCGAATGAAGAATGACATTATTCAAAATTTGATATCCCTAGGTATTGTTGTTTTTTTACATTGCAAGAAACATACAAGCATTCATGTAGATTTTTCGTAATTTTATTTCTTTAAATATAACGCAGGGCTTTAATATTTGTTGGCGACAATTTGAAAAGTGAAACACTGTTTATACTGAACCAATGCAAAATGAAATTATAGCTGTTCTGGGCAAATTGCTCCTCTGGGCTAAAAAATGAAAGGTTTCAGATTCTAGTCGTTGCCCAAAGGAGTTTGTTAAGGTATTTTACGCTCTTGCTGAGATCACAGTCTACCTGTCTGCTGTTATACTCATTCCAACTAACCCATTTTTTAGCTTTATTATTAAGCATAATTTTCTTTCCATTTGCACCATATATAATTCTGCAGCAAAATTTAAAACCAGCATAGCAGTATACGTTTAGAATTCCAGATGGAACATTAAGTGTTGGCTTACATTTTTCTGTTTTTTTTTTCCAAATCTTTTCTCAGTTTATCGTATCAGTGTTCAATCTTCTTACTACGATGGCTTTCCAAAATTTTGTCTTTATATTATTAATACTTGTGTATTTATGTATGAAATATAAAATTCTTGGCTCTTACACTACATAAAATTCTGATTCAATTGCAGAATCAAAGCATTTAAAACCATTATATCTTTATAATTTCCAACAGACAGCCTCATGTATTGGAGATAAAAATTTTTTATTCTGTGCAGTGCTGCCATTACTTGCTTTGAAATTGTTGAGTTTATTAATTAAAAAATTCATTAAAGTTTTACAAAATATTGAAATATAAATTTCAAAATTCCGGCATCGGTGCACATGTTCAGGTGGAAGACAACATTATGCAGAATTTGATGGCTGTAAGTACCATTATTTTTTTACAGTGCGAGAAACATGCATATACTCATACAGATTCTTCATTATTTAGTTTCTTTAAATATAATGCAGGGCGACAGTATTTGGTAGCAACAGTTTGAAAAGTGAAACAGACATTTATAGTGAACCAATGCAGAATGCCACTTCGAGACTAAGAGCTCCTCTGGCCTCTTTGGGCTAATAAGGGAAATATATTGTAATTATCTTTATTATATTTACATATGTACTCAATATTAATTATCAATTTAATAGATTTACTTCTTATATTATTAGTTGAAGAGTATATGCATTAAAGTGCATCCTACAAGCAATCAATTATGTAATTATTCTGAATATTGCCCATGAAATACAATGAAAAAATTAAATGCAGGTTCTTGTAGCTACATGTCAGAAAATCATTTATGTTACTTTTTGGAAAGTTTCAGATGTCTATTCGTAAAATCTCAAAGCTATGTCATTTGTCACTACATACTTTAACTGGTAGTTTCTTCGTATGCAGAAACTTCACTACTTGAATGTAACTTTAAAGAAAATATTTTACTTAGCTGTAAATCATTCAAATTTGATAAAATTTACAAATTGATTTGTGTTTTGTGGTTTTTAACCTCTTAAAGCATCTTAACTTGTGTATGACCATTGGAAGCTTTAATCATCATTTAGTTATATTAAATGAAGTAATGTCTGATTTTGTTTTGTTATCTTATGCTAATTAAGAAACACATTAAGTTTCATTCTAATTTAGGAAAAAGATATATAACAGTTGTTTTTAATGCTTCCTATATGTTTGTTTTTAATGCTTCCTAAATATTGTGAGCTTAAGCCATTTTGAAGGATTGTTGGTTATTGAAGTATAGCAAAGCTCACAAAGCTCTCTGTCAAAGCGGTTGGATGCTTTCATTATAAAGGGCAAGGAAAGTTTTCTTACATTCATGTTACACATGCAGAAAACTACAAACACTGATTATGTAACCAGTTTGTTTACCTGGGATTAAACCCAGAATAAACTGCCAGCATTCAGCATGCTTAAATCTCTCGACTATTGTGGGGCTTTTTATGGTAACAAATGATGTAGTTTATGTAATTTGAGATTTGTTTAGATTGGATTTAACAGCAGCTAATTAAATAGATATTTTTTCATTCTGATATAAAATGTATTGAATAGATTTATCAATGAGTACTTTGATTTATCATTTAGTCAGTCAGATTTTCAGTGCATAAATGTGAACTTGAATTACAGCTGGGGCCTCTTATCCTCTGATTCAGTGTCCTTAATTTACAGCAGCACAGAAAAAATTCGCTTCAAGTCATAAGCTATGCGTTTGAAAATGCAAGCAAACTGACAACAGTCCATAGCAGTTCAGGTTTATCAAAGTTTATCAAGTCTTCTTACATTCAGCCGATATTACTAAACACGAGAAATGGAAATAATCATTGAAGTTGTTTATGTATGTTCTAAGAATGCAAGGAAATTCTTCAAACTCTGAGCTAGATATCTAGCATGGTGATATAAGTATATTGGTAGGGAATCTTGGGTATTAGGAGTCTGAAAATTTGACTTTGTTTCTGTAGCTCTTCTTTTTAAATTTGCTTCCACTATCATTTGCGACATTCATGCTGGGTATTGCAACTGTGAGTTTTTTTTTTTTTTAAGGGTCATTTGAAAATAAAAACAAAATGAAAGAAAATTTTAAAAAACCAAATTTATTTGCAGATTCTACATACCTTTCTCTATTTTTTCAACATAGTTTGTTTAAACATTTGTTATATCTTAGAACCAGATTTTGAATGCTCTCTTCATAGAACCTTGCTGCCTGCTCCAATAACCAAAAGGTCATGGCCATTTTCAAGTCTTGTTGTTTTCAAGTCATGGCCATCGTTGTAGTGGTTGCCACCGAGATAATGTTTGAGATAATGAAAAAGAGGAAAATCGCTTGCTGTCTGGCCTGTAGGGGCAGTGGTCCAAAACTTCCTGACCGAAAGAGTCCAATAAGGCTCGGATTTCGAGCTGCAGTACGAGGCCTTGCATTGTAATGGAGTAGCAAAATTCCCTCTGTCAGCATTCAGCTTCTTTTGTTTTGAATCGCTCTGCATAGCTTTTGCAGAGTTTGGCCTTAGG